GGGTGGTTAAACGCTTGTTGCATGTTGTTAGAGCTCAAAACTAAATCTACTGTTCCTCACCCAATCAGACCCCTTCCACTGGGCATGGCTCCCCCAGGCTAAGGTGGCCTTCTCCCAGGAGACCCGAGACCTGGTGCTGTCCCGCCTCTCTGACATGAACTTTGTCCAGGACCTCTGTGAGGACCTCTATGAGATGTTCAAGGTACAGAATACCTCACCTTTTTTCCTCCCTCTAACAGCTGTATACAAACAGCTGTCACAAGACTCCCGCTAACATGTGTCATCGTTGTTCCCTTCAGACGGATAAAGGCTTCGATAAAACCATGTTTGAGAGACAGATGTCTGTAATGAGGGGACAGGTGAGGTTATTTTTTTTTAAAGTGGAATTTGACTGTTTTCAAAAGCTTCTCTGCCTTCGTCTCCTGTATCTCGTTCTTTTGATATATATCCTTCCTACTGTCCTTTCTCTCTTCTGTGCCCTACTTTCAGTCACTTTGGTTGTTTTTTAATGACTTCATTCCTAACCGCCTTGACCTAATTTCTCTCCATCCACTCCTGTCTATTTTCATGCCTATCCTTGTGACAACTAAGCGTGTCATAGAAGTATCATAACATTGCTTAAGGCTCTTTTTTTATATTGTTCTTTTAGTGTACTTGTCATTTTCTGGTTACAATACATAATACATGTTTTATATTCCATTAGAGCTGACACGAGTTTGGTTTGAGAGGAAAAAAAGAAATAATTTATGATTAATTGTCTTTTTTTTTTTATCAGGGGAGCATAATCAGGGTAGTTTTGGATTTTTTTAAGTGTGGTTGTATGAGGTACTTATCCAAAGTCAGTGCATTACTACAGTAGTTGGCAATCAGCCCTCCCCCAGTTTAAAGAAACAGGCTTTTCTGGTGTGGACAGGTGCAGCAGCAAAACCCATTTCAGCCACCTAAAGTCTATGTGTATGCTCCTTTAGGAGTATCTTCACCATTTTACGTTGCTGTCAGACAGCCATTACAGAGAACTGAAGCTGTCGATGTTGCCTGAAGAACACGAGTAGCTTTGGGTTATGGAGCAGAGGTGGGAAGTAACTATGTCATACATTTACTCAAGATACTTGTACTTTACTGGAGTATGTCCATGTTATGCTATTTCGTACTTCTACTCCACAACAAGGAGGTACACCCTGTGCTTTTACTCCACAACAATTCAGAGGTAAATCCTGTGCTTTTACTCCATGTGAGACACTACATTTATTTTGCGCCCTTAGTTACTTTACAGATTTGGATTAATTATGTGAAATATAATCAACACTTAAATCAGACTTTAGTTACACCTGGAGTAAATTCACAAGCTACGCTGCAGTATACAAGTCATTACAGCTAGCTGCACCTTTACCAGCTTCAGATCTGAGTATATACAGATGCTTCATATAACAGTGTTTATGGATCAGTACCTCATCAAGCCCTCTCAATTTAACTTCACATACTCTCAAAATCAAGCAATGCAACAATGAAAACTGCTTTCTCTATGTCATACATGACCACCCCTGTTTATCACCAGGTGTTGAACCTGACCCAGGCGCTGAAGGACGGGAAGAGCCCCATCCAGCTGGTGCAGATGCCGCGGGTGGTGGTGGAGCGCAGCCGCTCGGGGGGGCAGGGACGCGTGGTCACCCTCGGCAACGCCTTCACACAAACCTTCCACTGCAAGCGGCCCTTTTTCTCCTCTTGGTAGAGGGCAGCGGAGGGAAGACTTTTGCTACAGCTCTTTATTTTTCTTTCCTGAAGGGAGGAAGAACAACATGGCACTCATATTTTGGGTGGTAGGAAGTAAGATGGAGAAACATTCCTCAAATTGTGAAGAGGCACACCAGTGTCTGCAAAAGACCTTGGGGCTGTTTGTTGTTACCATGGTGACTTGATTGGATAATTGGATTTTCCACAGAGGTGGGCTTTGTTTATTGTTAGCAGGCAGAAAGGAATTTATTTTGTACCCACCTAAAGTACCTACGGAAGTCTTTTGCAAGGTCTCTCAGTGGGCTAATGGCCAAAGACGAAGTACTTGACAGATTTGTGGTTCAGTATGTTTGGGGATCGAAAGTGATTTTTTTAGAATTTGGAACAGTTTGTTCCTGATATGGGATAAACACCCAAACTGTTTGCTTTGCCTTGTAGGATTACTTAATAAAATATAGATGCACTTGCACCGCTGGAAGTGTTTGACTTGTTCAGCAGCACTGGGTCAAAGCGCTGTTTTTACCCAGTGTTAGTTTTTCAAATCTGCATCTAACGCAAACCTAGTGTCTTCAACTCTCACTACTGCCAAAATCTGTGTGTGGACGGAGTATTTAAAAGCCTCAAGAAAATGAATATCGTTGAAACTTGAATATAGACTTTGGAGAAGGAGGACTTAGTAAAAAAACAACATTGCTTGAATGTAATCTGTTTACGTTTTCTATATAGATTATTACTCCTGAACATTTCAATACGAGTGAATGCTGTCAAAAATATACTTTTTTTTCTTTTTCGTAACAAGGAATGTATTTGTTGTTTGACATATTTAATTGCTCCTTATAAGGCGCAGCACCTCTTTCCTGCCCTTTATGATACGTTATATGAAGAGAAGAAACTAAACAGAGGACAATATTTCCAACATGCTCGAGGCTGTTGTGATTTCTTATGTATGCATCTTGAAATTTATTTTCCAACTCAATGATTGTATAAGAAAAGTGGTATATTTAACAGGTGAAAAATTAAAATGTGGGGAATTTGAGTCTTGTGACGTCTTAAAACATTGTCGACCAAGGTGTGTTCAGCAAAGACACTCCCACGCCAGGAGCATTGAACCTTAATGATTAACTGATGACGGGAGTATTAGCTCAAAGTGAGCTATTAATAACTCCAATGCAAACCAACCAGACTGTTCCCTTTATTATTACAGTTAAATCAATGACCTTGTGGACAATAATGTTACTAAAAACCTTCAACCGACACCATCAAATTGTAGCTGTGACTTAGACAGTGAGGGAAGAAGTATTCAGATCATTTCCTGAAGTAAAAGTACTGATACCTTATGCTTAGGGGGGAAAAAAGAAGGGAAATGTTTACAAGAAAAACCACTAAGAAAATGACTAATAAAATATGAAAGTATATCAGACTTTAAAGTGGAAGAGCATTAAAAAAGTCCCAGATTTAAAACCTAAAGTAGGTTTATGGACCTATTATCTACAAAATATAAAGAAGCATAACATTGAATTAAGATACTAGATCTAACTAAGTATTTAGGTCAATAAATTGAGATCATGTACTAATTTACATTCCACTGCTGGTCTTGTATGCAGTGGAACGATCCACATCCTCAAAGATCAGGTTGCAGGTTAGAACATTTTAATTTGAAAGGAGGCATTGATGATCACATGTTATTACCTGAGCACAAACATTCATAATTTAACCGCTGTCAATTAAATGTATATAAATATATGAAACACGTGCACTAGCAAACACCCACATGCTCCCTCCCCAGTATGCCGAAGTAGTTGAAAAGTGTCAGCACACACTCATATGGACTGAGGCAAAGCATTTGGAGAAGAAATAAGATATGAAAACATATGTTACAATACGATTAGTGTGTGTTTCAGAAGTACAAAAAAAGAAAGAGCACAGGTGGCTTAATACTGCCACCATGTGGATAAAAAGGTGCATCTCTTAAAATTAAAAATGCAATATTACCACTCTCAAATTGACTAACACTTTCTCTAAAAACAATGACTAAATATTACATTCATGTTAAAAGCTGTTTTCCGATGCACACTGCATGTTTACATCAGTCATATTTTAAGCAAATGGCTCATGCACTTGTATATTTGTGGGAATTTGTTTAGGCCTATCTATATTTTGATTTATAGGCTACTGCGACATAAGCAGCAATAAAATAGATGAGAAATGCTTGACGCAAGGATACTAAAACAGTTTAACTGTAGTCTGCACTGAAAAAACTGAAATGTTCATTTTAATTAACTGTATTATCTCTACTAGTTTCACATAACTATTAGGTTAGTTGAAAGCAATACTATTAAGTTGAACCTAATATTTGTTTCTCAACTCGATATTATAGTTTTCAACTACCTAATACAGTTATGTGAACTCTGCTGACATCAAACATTTAATTCAAGTCAACGATTCAGATATTTCAGCATGTAAGGTAAGGTACGTTTATTTATATAGGACATACTGTTTTGTTTTTGTTTAATTGTAGGAAATTGTTGCTCATCCAGCTACTGATTTGTTCCATGCAGTTGGTGAGGGATTGTAATTGTCCGTAGTCGCCAGGCTTTATTGTAATGCATAACTAACTGAGTGTCATCCGCATAATTGTGGTACGACATTTTGTTTACTTTTAAGATCCGGGCTAGTGGAAGCATGTATATGTTGAATAGAATTGGACCAATAATCGACCCTTGGGGAACTCCTCAAGTCATTGCTGTTTGTTGTAATTTAAAAGAACTAACAGACAAAAGGCGCGTTCACACCGCAGTACTTTTCCCACTTTAGTTCCGAAATGTCGCTTTGACACAATTGATTCATGTACAATATTTCACTCTGAATTGTTGAAGAGAAGAAGTATATAGTTACATAAGAAGATCATAATAAAATAGAAGCATCAAACGTGTTTCTCAATTATGTCCAGTATTTTAGTACATGCACTTACTACTGGAGGAATAGGCTGCTTTTATTTAGTGTTGTGCGTTTTATTCCCACTGGATGGCGTGCACTACCAGCTACATGGAGTGAGTGGCCTCCAACTAAGTGATGAAGTCACCAGGTTGTCAGAATATGCAGGCAGGCCCTGATGACTAATGTCCGGAGTAAAACTTCCAGAGAGCTGAGGACACGAGCCCAGTCGATCTGTGGAAGTAGCCATCGGGTCCAAACGCAGAAAATCATTAAGAAAGAGATATTAAACAATCCAGAAATATCCATCATAACTTTTTGTCAAGTCTATCACAATGCAATTACTTTTACTCGCAGCTGCATTTCTCTTTACGCACGACTTCACCGGAGCTGTGCGTCCAGAAAGGTGCGCGTCCCGTTGCGAGGTGAGCTCATGTCCAAGCCCCAGCTGTCCGGCCGGCGCTTATGTCCCGGACAGATGTAACTGTTGCATGGTGTGCTCCCCCCGCGAAGGAGACCCCTGTGGCCGAAAGAGCGACCTGCCCTGCGGGGATGGCCTGGAGTGCAAGCTGCTCGCTGCGGGGAAGCGGCGAGGCTCCAAGGGGGTCTGCCGGTGTAAGATGGAGCATGAAGTGTGCGGGAGCGACGGGAAAACGTACGGGAATGTGTGTAAGACGAGAGTGGCCAGCCGCAAAGCTGAGCAGAAGGGGAGACCTGCAGTCAGCCAGGCACATAAAGGACCCTGCGCATCCACAGGTAGGACAGCTTGGAGTGCGCACATTTTGGGGGATGGGCAAATGATGATCATCCAAATGTATAAAACTTCTTTAATTGAGTACATTTTTCTGTTGTGATAAGTGCTTAAACGGCATTCTGATGGTTATTTTGCAAAGCACACGCTGTGATCGTTATCAGTGCCAAATCAGTACAAAGAATGTTCGGTAAAGTTGGAAAGATATTGACAAATTCGGACTTGACGGATCTATTATTCGGAAACCAAACACCAACGACGTCTCCTAACATCTGTAGTAAGGTAAACAACTCGCTAAACCCTCATTTTCATAAAACAACAAGCCAAACCCGGTCCTATCATACAGCAAAGTGCTACCAAAATCCCTTCACACATTAATGGTCTCCTGTTTGTTTTACCACCACAAAATCATTTATTTTTGCATATCTTTATGAATATTAATTGTGTCAAATATTAAAAACTTCACTACTATACAGTGCAGTGCTTTACAAATAATTTCTCACATGATTTGTCTCCTTATCGTTGTACTACACAACAAGTTAGGGAAAACAATTCCTCGTGCATAAATTTGGTGAATGTTTCATGTAAAAAATATTAAATCCATTTAATATTTCTTCCTATTTATCTTCCATAGTGTATGTTTTACTAACTATAATACATTTGAGCATTTTAGTGTCATTGCCTGTCTCAAACTGTAATTTAATCCTACAGTAACTATCGGTTGTGTGTTTGTGTGTGTACTATTAATGGAGTTTGTTTTTCATGCCAGTACAGGTCGCTTCTCAATCCATCCCAGCAGCCCTCGCTATAAGTTCAACTTCATCGCTGACGTGGTGGAGAAAATAGCACCAGCTGTTGTCCACATTGAAATGTTCATAAGGTGTGGCATTTGTTATAATACATAGCCTTTTAAATTATAAATATCATTATTTGGGTAGCCTTCACACATCTTGTCAATAGAAACATAAAACAACCTGCACCCAATATAAGACGTGTTACAAATGTAAGCCTCACTCTCTGCCGTCTCCAGACACCCCCTGTTTAGTCACCACGTGCGTCTCTCCAGCGGCTCTGGTTTCATCATGACCCCCTCAGGTGTGATTGTGACCAACGCTCATGTGGTGACCACGGATGCCATTGCCACGGTAACAGGGCGGCCCCAGCTGCGCGTGCAGCTCCACGACGGTGACGCATATGAGGCTGTGGTCAGACATGTAGACAGGAAGGCAGACATCGCCACCATCAAGGTCAATCCCCAGGTGAGAGCATACAAACTCAGCACCCTTCTCTCTTCATCCAAATCAAAGTATGTTATGGTACAAAAACATTCTGAACTACTGCACAATAACCCACATCCTGACACGTGTCCTTGACAGCTTTCTGCTAAATATTCTTAGCCAGATACTTTCCTAAACACCCGCTCTGTGACTCAGAGACACCGCGCCAATGTGTGTATTCTCACACCCACGTCTCAAATACTAAGACAGTTTTGTTTTCATTACACTTTTTCTTAATTTCTCTCCCAGTATGTCTCTATTGCACATTTATTTTCAATACATTTCAATGTTTTCATTCTTCACGCGTGTCTGTTCTGTGCTGGTATGTTTGATCCCACATGGGAGCAGAAGAAGCTCCCTGTGCTGTCTCTGGGCCGTTCAGCTGGTCTGAGGCCAGGGGAGTTTGTGGTTGCTATTGGCAGCCCCTTCGCCCTGCAGAACACCGTCACCACCGGCATCGTCAGCACCGCCCAGAGAGACGGAAAGGAGCTGGGCATCAAGGACTCAGACATGGACTACATTCAGACCGACGCCATTATTAATGTGAGCACAGCACACACCACAGCACATGAGGTTTCTTGTTGCATAACGATGTTGGTTGTTTGCATATTTCTTAATGTCAATGTTTCATCTTTTCTGGGAGAAGTATGGAAATTCTGGAGGACCTCTTGTTAACTTGGTGAGTAGTGTTATGATCAGCCTAATATTTTTAGCTCACATTTATGATTGTACACTCAAGGGCCACTCGTGGTTGCTGAAATTCACAGAACAATTGTATTGACTGTTTTATACCTTCATTGACTGCCGACACCTTCCTCCTTGTACACAGCAGTTTGGGGCCTCTAGTTATTAACAAGACTAAAAACAGTCTGATGACAGCCGCATTTTGCCCTTTTTCGGGCCTCTAAAACTGACATCTATAAATATAAATCTGTGTAATCTGAACCGGATTGCAGAAGATCAATTCCATACATCATGTGTTATGATCCATGTAAGTATGGCACAATACAAGGTGAATAAATATGTGGTTTTTTATTTGCCTTCTGGACTGTAAGCTTGGAGATTTAGTGAGTTTTAGTTTTGATCTATATTATTAAAATTGACTTTTTGTTTTTAAATATCTGCACTTCAAATAACAAATACAAACTTGTTGCATGAAGAAAAGGATAAAATAATGTAATCGAATGATGAAAGAGGCCCTATTACGCGTTTCTCTGCCACACACTCACCCCCCTGCCTGAAACGTATACATTGTAGTGTTTACCTCCGCGACATAGTGACATCATTAAATAGGGTCAGGACATCTCTAAGCAGTTGACCAATTACAACAGAGCTGGCCAGTCAACCAATCAGAAAAGACTGGGCTCTGGTTTCAGACAGAGGGTGGAAAGAGGTGCTGCTGCACAGGCAGTATGATAAACCTAAAGAGCTTTTTGAACATAAAAGCATGTAAACATTTCAAAGTAGAGGCAGAAAATATAAATATGAACCTGAAAATAAGCTTAATAGCCCCTTTTAAGACGTGAATCAGACTGTATTCCATGCTAACATTTGCATGAATAATTGCTTTATTTTGTATCAGTGCCTGTTTATGGCAACATTTCTGGTTTTAACCTGTGTGAACTATTTTCCTTTAGGTGATATTTGTACTAATTGCAATGATATTTAAGCCTTTTTTTTACCCGACACTAAAGTCCAGTCTAATTTGAACTTTGTTAATGTTTGTGTTGCTTTCAGGACGGTGAGGTGATAGGCATCAACACTCTGAAAGTGGCAGCAGGGATCTCCTTTGCCATACCCTCAGACAGAATCAGTCGCTTCCTCAGAGAGTCACAGCCCAAACACAGCAAAAGTCAGAGGTCAAAGGCTGAGCAGCACAGAGGTACTAATATAGTTTCAGTTTGATGTCCTGTGAGAGTTTAATGCCTATGAAGTGGTTCCAATCACAGTTGTTGATTTTTGTTGTGACAGAAAAGACAAAACTCCAAAGAAGACTTCCAGAGGAACCACAGGGTGATGCAGGTGAGAGCTGTTGTAATGCTTTAAGTTTGACCTGTGTTGTTTTCGGAGATGAATATTCTTTAGCCATCAGGATGCTTACCGCGAACAAAGCTTGAGTTGTGACATCCACACACACTTTGAGTAGTTATACTAACACAAATTTAACTCAGCTTCTATTTGAAAGACAATGGACTTTTCCCCCAGTTTCTTTCAGTGAAACTACTTTTTATCCTTTCTGAAAATAAGTTTATTAGTATTGTTGTTGGTATTTGTAACACTGATGTGAGCGTTGTGTTTTTTTGTGCTTCAGTCTGGTAGCAGAGTTGAAACGTCAGAATCCAGACTTTCTGAGGGCTGCAGGGAAGTTTTGGTGAATCAGGTCATACCAGACACTCAAGCAGAAAAGTATGTTCACACACTCCTGCAATAAGCCAAGCACACACACTGACATCGCAGTGAGGAACCGCCGCTGGGAAACGGACAACGTGTCATCAAAGTAGCACTCAATCGTTGATTTTCAAATGCTATATTGATTGCCATTTTGTATTTCTTTTTTTAGATTTGGTCTGGTGTTGTCAAGTTGTTACATTCATTTGTAAATTATTTGTGCAAAGGGAATTACACTTGGTTTGTTTAGCTCTTGTTACATTTGTTTTGTCCTGTTAGCCATTTTAAACCAATTTTGCATCTCGAGCTGCTTAGCTCGCTAACTTGTGCTAACGTCATGGGCTCTGCCGCAGCCTGTTCTGTCACTACGGCAGACTGAAAGGTGGTGAATAATTTATTTTAACTTCAACCCTCGCAAAATGACTGTTTCAACTGAATTTGATACATTTTAGGGAAGTCCCGAAGAGCAGCTTGATTTATTAAGGAAGAAGAAAATGCCACAGCTAGCTAGCTAGCTAAAGCTGCATTCACATGATAAGCTAATTTCTTTGCGGTGAAAACAGCCATTCAAGGGTCGTTTCTTAAGTTAAATTCTCTGCTAGCTAGCGTAGCCACGTCATCTTATATGTGTGTTGAAAGGTCAGAAGTGTCCAGAGGTGGGAAATAGTGGAGTACAAATACTTTGTTACTTTACTTGAGTACATTTTTCTGGTATCAGTAGGCCTACTTTACTCCACTACTTATTTTTCTGATGACTTTTTACTTTGACACTTTACATTTTTAACACAAATACCTGTACTTTCTACTTCTTTCATTTTGAAAACAGGTTTGTTACTTTAGTTTAAATCTATGTTTAGTGGCGTGATCATTATTATTTAGAGTCATTGCGTGCCTATTGATTTTAACACGATCCGTGTATCCATCATTTCCTCTTTTCTCTAAAGAAGAGGGACCAATAGAAACGTTGTCATTTTGCCGTTGTTCAGCATCGAAACATTCTTTAGCTAACAATGACATTATTGTTCTATTAATATAAAATTACATCAGTTACTCTTTAAAACAGTTGGTAGTAATGGGCACTTTTTACTTAAGTAGGCCTACATTTCGAAGCCCATACTTCTTTACTTTTACTTGGGTAAAGAAGTTTAGTCAGTACTTCTACTTTTACCAGAGTATTTTTTAACACGAGTATGTGTATTTCTATTTGAGTAAAGGATGTGTGTACTTTTGCCATCTCTGGCAGTACCTAGGTCAAAGTTTAAATAATTGTAACTTTCAAGCAGTGCGCGACGCTGAGGTCGGCGCTTCTGCCTAGTCGGGCGGCACTGCTCTCTCCATAGACACACAACGGAGCCGTTTTTCCACGTATTGGATTCATGAGGGTGATCTAATTTCATATTTTGGTAAATATACAAAGTAGCCTGGATGAACACACCATTTAAAGCTCCTGTTGTATTCGGGTCAAATCTGAACGATTTACTACTTTCATCAATCATAACTTTTTTGTTTTACATTAGATTGCATTAAGGCTTTATGATATCCTTCACTAGACATTTTAACATATAAATTACTGATCACCACTTTCATTGAATTTTGGATGATTTAGTCAACTTTGTAACACCCATGGTGTTCCCATAAAGACATGGAATTAGTAACCATCCGGATCAGATCACACACACACACACACACACACACACACACACACACACACACTGAGACTCNGCCATTTAACTATCTTAGCAGCGTGGCCAATTCAATGTTAAATTAAATCCACCATTTATTGATTATTTGTCTACCTATCGATTCGTCTAAAAGCTACCTTTCCAGGATCAATGCATATATGAATATGCCATAATGCACATAAAATTACCACAGCCAGCCAAGACACGCAGACACGCAGACACACACACACACGCACACACGCACACACACAGTTCAGCGTCCTTAATGAAATGGCCTCATTCCCAATTATAAGAAGTCAACAGTACAAGAGTACCACTTAATAATTCAATAATTAGAATGATTTATTGCGTTGGTCCTGCATTGACACCACTTCTGAGCTTTAATTTGTGTAATAAATTGGATTTAAAGACTAAATACTTAAGATTTAAAACTAAATGTCATGGAGTGTTAAGGGGAACTCAACTTTTGAGGATTTCCCAAGTGTAAAAACGATGCATTCATGGCACGTTATGTACATTTGTGCAAAGCCAGGCTAGCTGTTTCCCCTTGTTTCCAGTCATTATGCTAAGCTAAGCTAACCTGCACATGGCTCCAGCTCCAAATTGAACCGACAGAATTGAGAGGTATTGATCCTTTCATGTACTGTAAGTCTTGGCAAGAAAGCGAAGAAGTCTATTTTCAAATATGCGTTTTATTACTTTAATGGTTTCCTCCTTATGTACTAGATACTTTAAGTGACTACAAGACGATTTTTTTTGGCATCGGGGCGAAAAATGCCCAATGGCACCGATGATCACTCGTAGTAAACACGAAGATGACACGATTTGACAAGATGCCCTCACGATGGCCTTACGAAGGGCAAAATGAACACACGAAGTCAACACGAAAATGAAGCTTCGCAAGGTCCTTCGACAATTTGTTGGCATGGCAAAGATTTTGCCACCGCTCACGAAGTTGCTGCCGGAGCCTGAGAAACTCCACCTGCGTTCATACGATGGCTTAAGATGCCCTCACCAATGGCCCGATGTTGCTACGATCAGAGCCGAATTTGAACCTTTCCTTTATCGTGTGTCCATCTGGTGTATGGACCAAATTTGTGTGGGTTTAAAGACACATTGGCATAAAGATGGAAATATAATCCAATGGCTACAAACTACATGCGCATACATAACACCAAAGCAACAAATACACAGATGCACGCTATAAATGATCCCAATACCAGTGACACACTTATTACGCCGCTATATAATGTTCATAAAGCGCATCAGGAGGATTCATGGCTGTCCTTGGACATATTTAAATTGCTCTCCATCACCTGCATATCATTTCCTCTGACAGTTCACAGGTCAAGGGTCAACATACAGAGTCCATAACTCTACTGTAAATGTCATGAATGCAGCTACAAGGTGGAATATGTGGGTGGATTGATCTGGATCTTTCCCTTTCTGCTTTATACTGCTATATGTGAGGAATGTCCACAGTGAAAGCTAGAAGTGGTTCACCAATTTCTACATTTATTCTAAAACTGCAGGTCCTTTCAGCATCGCTCTCATGAATGATTCAGCAGCTGGATGGTAGGTAGAGTCAATCCTGTACAATCTGTTGCATTTATTTGGGACATTTTGCGCATGAGAATGACGACATTGTTTCCTGGAGCTGGTCGCTTGTGGGATATTTTAGACAGCATGAAAGACACATTTGAAAAACAGCGTGTTTCACTTCCAGTGATGTTTAGTGGCAGCATGACAAATAAGAAATATAAAGTCTTTGTAAGCCTGAATAAAAGGAACGAGGTGTTAATTGGCAGCTTATGTTCTCGTTCTGGCTCATTACTGACATAATACGTGCATTTCAATCTCATAAATGCGGTATTTGCTGATTAATTGAGACTAAACCAGCAAGCTTTGTGACGTCCTGTGAATTTAAGGAATGGCTATATAAGTGTGTGAGAAAAAAAGAGAAAAATGTCCCTCCCCTAGACGTGTGTGTCAGGTCCAGTTTCATTCAACACTCAGGTAACATTTGTTTTCATCACCTTAGGATGTGTTGGTAAATGTGCAAGAAAGAGACAAAGGGTGTGAGGATTTTGGGGAAATATAGGACGGTCAGCCTGTTCTCTGCGAAACTCAGGGGAAATCCAGAAGTAGAAATATTGAATAAACAGCCAGTTGTATATGAACAGTATGCACAAGTCATTACCTTACATTGTCTTATTTGTGATCTTTGTTTCTTTTAATGATGTTCGTGAAATGTAACTTTCCTTTTACGTCAACGTGCAAAGACTACAAATAGAAAAAGATTGTACATTTTATTATTCTCACAACATACTAAAGCAACACATCGTGTGTAGGTTATGGGATTTATGATATTTGCTCTAGTGATGTTACGTTCACGAACAATCCGATTCTTTTGAACGGCTCTTTGGTACGAACGAAGGGAACCGAGTCGTTAGCGTTGGTAGGGATGCTTCCGGGATCGCCAATTTGTGGGGGCAGGATTGGCCGCGATCATATCAGTCCGGGGCCGATACCAATCGGGGCCGATCCGACTCGAGTGGCGCGGGGCCTAGGGAATTTTTTTTTTTTTTTTTTTTGTTTTTTTTTTTGTTCCTCATTAAAGTGATTTGGTTTTATAAATCTTCTCATTGGTTTAATGGTTGGTCTCATTCACTGGCGTTCACAAACCAACACTTATTATTACATTCAAAAATGAGGGTCTCTCTCTCCTCTTACTCTCTCTCTCTCTCTCTCTCTCTCTCTCTCTCTCTCTCTCTCCTCTCTCCTCTCTCTCTCTTTCTCTCTCTCTCCTCTCTCTCTCTCTCTCTCTCTCTCTCTCTCTCTCTCTCTCTCTCTCTCTCTCTCCTCTCTCTCTCTCTGCTTCTCCCTCTCTCCTCCTGGTGTTTACATCTACTGATCCAGTGAGGCTGCATGAGACGATGGGACTGAGTGACCCGACAGTGAAGGAATAAAATAATGGTGTATAACTAAGTGTTAGCTTGTTCCAGAGTAGATCAAATAGGGCTAAGTGTGTTCACTGTAGGGTCTTTGCCCGCACAAGAGAAAAGGTGGTCATGTTATTTTTAGTTCATCATTTTACGTCGATGCGATCGGCTATTTTTTAGAGAGCACCGACGAAAAAATTCGGGCAGGAGGGAGTGAGTATCCGCCGATTTCATCGGCCGCCGATCGATCGGGGAGATCCCTTAACTTGTGTGGGAGAGCCTTCAGTGTACGGTAGACGACGTGTTTTTGCGGGTGAAAAAAAGGAGGCCAAACGCGAAACGCAGCAAGCAT